TCATGTAGAGGACGGCGGGTGGGCGGCGCAGACGGTGGCACAAAGGTGTGGTCGATGTGGATGGACAGTGTTCTACGTGAGCGGTGGACGCCTCACAAGAGGGTCGGTGCGGTGGGCTGGTGCGGAAAATGAGTTGTGTACTTGTGTGGGAAGATGAGGAACCAGAGACAATGTTGATTAGGAAGAAAAAATGGAAGACGATTAAAAAAATAAAGCAAATAAAAGGTCACAACTGTACAAGCTAGTTGGAATTAAAAGCTAAAATAATACTCCGTAGGTACTAATAAACCATTAAAAAGCCACATTGACGATACACATAAGGAGTTAACCGGATAAACTTATCCTTTACCGGTTAGAGGGTTCAATTGAGCATTTTTTATAAGTTTGAGGGTCCAACCGACTAATTTTAAAGTAGGAAGACCTAATTGACTTTTTTGACATAGTAGAAGGGCCTATTTGATAGTTTTCCCAAATCAATTTAATACTGAAAGGTTAGGATTTCAGGTTCACGCCTATGTTTAAAAAACCGACCTGACCCGGAACCCGGCGACCTGGACAAAAACCCGGTTCGGTCTGTTCAAAACCCGAAAATGGTCAAAAAAACGGAAAAAACCCGATTGACCCGGGAAAACCCGGTCCGGACCCGGACCCAAGAACCCGAAAAAACCGGGAAACCCCGGTTTTGGGTGTCCCCCCCAAAGTAATTTCTTTTTTAATTTTAATGCATTTTTTAAACGAATAAAATTACAATTTTAATACCCTAAAAAGAAAAACCATGTGAATATCATGCCAAATTATAATATAAAAATTAAAAATTGTGTACAATACAAATAAAAATATCATTATATATTTTTATAGGATCAAAATTTTACTTTGAAATATTATGAGAGTGTATTAAATGCTTAATCAGTAGTATTTTAGTTGATTATTATGAATAATATAACTACTTTTTATTATAATTTTGTATATAATTATATGTTTATTATTATTATATAGACGTATAATCGTTGACCGGGTTGACCCACCCGTCCAATTTTTTAAACATAGGTTCACGTATTATCGCCCTAGCTTTTATTTATCAAGAGTATTACTTGAATGTTGTACCTTTGGTTAAGTGGTGGGGTTGGGGCAGATGAACACCTACTGTCAGAGCATCTCAAATGCTAGAATGTGCACGGTGCACATGTGACATGAGAGAGATAGACACAAAAGATTGATTTTATGACATTTCTCTCTCCGTCTTTCCACGATCTTTTGTGTTTTTTGGTAAGTTTTCCTCTGCAGTGTCAACCACAATGTCTACATCTAGACATTGTGAAGAAAAACTTATCAAAATGATATAAGATCCCTCAAATAAGGAGAGAGATATTTTATTTATTATTTTTTGATTGGATATCCCTCATGCCACATATGCACTGTTAACGTATTAGCATTGGAGATGCTCTCAAGTGTCACATGTCATTATGTGGGGTTTTTTGGGAGCTATTTTGGTGGACAAACCTTTTTACCATATAAATTACTTCGTCATTTACGGAGTACTACGTATTTAGTACGAGTAGTATATTTACAATTGTAACCGGACATGACGTATCAAATACAAAGGCATAATCAATCTACAAGGAGTGGACGTTTGGATTTTAACGGAACTAACGGAGGAAAATAAGGGTAAAAATATATGTTATAATGATAAAAGCATAATGTACAAGATTATATTGCTTTGTATTACACCAACACATTTAATGTGCCAAAAACACCCTAACCTTCATTGATGTTTATAATATTTTAGACTCTGTATCAACGGGCTTCGTTACGTTGGAGAGCTCTATTCCTAGGGTTCACCGCTAGGTTTTCCTTCGGATTTCGATCTCACCGATGGAAGATCGGTTCTTTTGTTTGTTTCGTTTTTACACAAAGAGACTACACGGGGCCGACGAGAGTCGTGCGGTTTGGTCGTGGCGACGATTACCGTAAAACAAATATACTAAGCAGTTTTAGATAGTGATCTTGCTCGGGTTATGGACTCCTCTCTTGTGCCACTGGTTTCGATTGGGAAGGTAAGCATGGATTTCGGGTTCATTCGGGCTATAATCATAGGGATTAAGAAGATGTCAGTGAAAATTGTGGTGGTGGGTTTGCAAGGAATGTTTCAAGATGAAGGATTGATGATCCGTCCCCCTTCTGAGCCACCGCCGAGGATGATGTTTGAAGCAGTGATTCAGTTGCTCTGTCAGTTTATTTTATTAATTTTCGTTATTTTGCTGTAAAACTCTTGCATTAGGTTTTGGGGTTGGGAGGTTTACGGTAATCGTCGTTAGCTTTAATTTTTCCAAGTTAGGTCTAGCGGGCTATATTGCTTTGTCAAAGGTGAGTAACTTAGAGTCTCAGCCAAGAGCGGATGGTTACATGTGGTCCTTCACGTTCTTGTACCCCTGCTGAATGCTATTTTAATAATATAAGCACCTTACGATCAAAAAAATAAATAAATTAATACTCTGTATGAAGATCACATACAAGAAAATCTCCAGGCAGTTATGATGTTTTTTACTTGAATTGGATTGTTTTAAGTCCCATACCAGAATAGATTAGACCAGACTAGACCAAACCGGACTAGACATTTACTAGACAAAATCAGACCAGTTCAGACCAAACCAGATCAGATTAGACCAGAATAGACCAGATCCTAAAATTATAGTCCAAGTAAAAACATCCTTACAGTTGATCCAATCGTAATCCCTATTAATAGACATAGAATCGATCATCTCATACAAAGCAACCTAATTCGCTAGACACAAAATAGATAATTTTAAGCCTAAAACGATTCGAACAGAAACACTGCCTATCAAAAGTAATTCAAAAATCCAAATATCAAAATCAAACTTACTCGAACTAAAATAAAAATAAGTACGAAGTACTAAATTAATAAAAATGGTTTATCTAGTTGTGTGTTTAAATCAATTTAAAACATTTCATGATACATACATACATATATATAAATAAATATATATATATATATATATATATATATATATATATATATATACAATTAGCTAGTAAACAAAGAAATAAATGCTCCTAAAATTCATTTAAAAAGTTATCAGCTAATTATAAACAATAATCTAATAAAATACCAAATTACAAAAACTGCTAATACGATCTCGTCGCCTGGGTGAAGATCACTAACCCTGAGTAGCTCAGAAGAACAATGTGGATACTTCCTCCTTTATATAATAGAAAAACAAACATTAATATCTAGACTATTTTATTATGCACAAACTAAAAAACCTAAGTCAGAAGGTTGGTTTGAAAAAGAAGAAAATCAAACTCAAACCTTAAATAATATTTTATATAATACATTTTCATAATAATTGAATAAAAATTAGAGTATAACATTGTTATAGAAAAAAAGAAAGGAGACAACAAGTAAAGGTAACAAAGAAAGGGCAAAAGAAAAAAGTACTCCCTACTTCCTAAGATCGAGCAACGAGCAGCAAAGGCAACGAAAAAAGACGAAAAAAGAAAAAGGCTAAAGGGTCACATAGACCCTATACTCTTTTAGAATGTTCAATTTATCCATTTGAAATTAAAAAAATCCAGTTGACATTCTCAACTCGATAAAAACATTCAAATTTCATTTTTTTTGTAGTACGAGATGTATTTCCAAAGTGTGTGTTTAATCAATTTAAAAATTGCATGATACGTATATTCAATTAGTTAGTAAATAAAGAAATAATTAATGTTCTTAAAAGTCATTTAAAAAGTTATCAGCTAATTATAAACAATAATCTAATAAAACACCATTTTACAAAAACTGTTAATACTATTGTCTAATCGAAACAACCAACCGAATTCACTATAATTAATCAATCAACTAACATAAGCAGCCAATAACCAACCACTAACGTCAATTGCCAAACACCCCAATATATATACTGTGTATAATATATGTCAAATATGATGAGTTAATTCAACATAGAGGGGTATTCCCCAATCAAAAGTAAGCAACCAGACGTTCATCGAGAATACAACATCAAATGTAACTTTTGATTCCACACACCAAATTGTACAATAATAAAAGCAATACTGTTTAATAATGTTATTTTTCTGATTTAATGACTCCAAATAATTATAATATTAATTAATATAATAAATCGATTTAATAAGAGAACAATTGAAGGCAATCACATGATTCACATCCTTTTAAGGCAAGAGTCAGGAGACGAGGGAACAGAATGCCTTACCGAACTCACGTGCAGAAAGGGGTAAGGTATGTCCATTATTGCACTTTTACAACTGTGATAAGGTATGTTCATTCCCTCCGCCAAGTTTAAACACGTAAGAACTGTGATAAGGATGCCCATATTGTGTGTGACAAGCAACCGTCTAAAAATAGGATGTTCAGTTCCAAATTTAAATTAAATTAAATAAGTATGGGAAGTATTTCGCTATTTCAATTTTATGAAACATTGTCATGGTGTGGGAAATCAACGAGTAATTTTCATAAACCGTTTGCCCTGCAATTGTTATTAAAATAGTCATCTAGACACAAAGTTGAGTTGATTTAATCATGAAAATAAAAAACCTCAAATTTATTTAATTTGATGATACATACTTTAGTTACGCAAAATAAAAAATTTAGTGTCCAATAAATCACTCACTTGTAGAATTTCTGAGTAGAAAAATTAGATAAAGTTTAGTGGACTTTTCTGTCATAGAACAAAATCAGAACCAATAACATCAAAATTCGACCTAAACAAGTAAAATTGGACCGACATCTAATATACCATATTCCAATTTGTTTTGCAAAGTCATGTCAACCTATATTAATGTCATATTTTCCCTATTGATAACTAATTCTATCATAATAATTAAAATTCACAAATTCAGAAATTAAATTAAAATCTCTAAAAAGTTGCACATTCAAATTTAAACTTATTAAAGAATTGATAACCTAAAAAATGATTAAATTGAATAAAAAAAGTCAATTTTGCTACTTGGGACTTAGGGGAGTTAGACTACAAAATTTCAGTCCAAGAAAATAGGAGCAATTCTAATTGTTTCCATATATAAATGAATGAAACAGTGAAGCATATTAGAAACAATCCAAACAGACCAGATCAACAGCTGATCTGATGCGTGCTCATCAAACATGGGCGGGATACAATTCATGAGCGCCATAAAAAAGATGATCAATAATAACTACAGGTTCTTCACCAAAAGGAAGGAAAAGGAAGAAGATGAAAAGAAAAAGGTGCAGAACAATAATAAGATTGAGCAGAGCAGCATAGCCCAAAAATGGACGATTCTGAGCGGAAAAAACAAATGGGAAGGGCTATTAGACCCTCTGGACGACGACCTCCGGCGATACATAATCCACTACGGCGAAATGGCCCAGGCGACCTACGACAACTTCAACCACCAGAAAGCGTCGAAGTTCGCCGGAAGCTGGCGGTACTCAAAACAGAGCATGTTCGAAATGGTCGGGCTGGAGAAGGGGAACCAGTTTAAGTACTCCGTAACCAAGTACGTTCATGCGACGTCTTCTATTCCGGTCCCCGACGCTTTTATCGTCAAATCGGAGTGGAACAGAGAGTCGAATTGGATCGGGTATGTGGCGGTGGCGACCGACGAGGGGGCGGCGGCGTTAGGGAGGAGGGACATAGTGGTTGCTTGGAGAGGGACGGTTCGGAGTTTGGAATGGGTTAATGATTTTGAGTTTGCGTTTGTGGAGGCGCCGAAGATATTCGGGGACAGCGCCGCCGCCGCCGATCATCCTAAGGTTCATCTTGGATGGTATTCCATTTACACTTCTGAGGACCCAAAATCGCCGGTAACTAAAATCAGTGCAAGGGACCAGGTAAATTAATTACTCCTGAACAATTTTTAATAGTGTAGTACGGAACATTAATTAAATTAAATTGTACCTATAAAGGCCACTCAATAATTAATGTCTTACAATGAAGAAACTCGTCACTTTCATTGTTTCATCATTGAAACAAAACAAAGCATATTCTGGCCTTCATGTGTTTCCGGACTCCAAACTCGATCTATTAAGAACAACGTTTTAATTTTGTTGTTATCTGTTGCAAAAAAAAATGTTGTTATCGTATACTATGTATAACAATTTTATATAAGAGAAAATCGCACTTTTAGTTTTTGCAATACTACCTCTGTCCCATTTATATTGTCCCGGAAGAGGGTGACACGGTTATTAAGAAAAGTGGGTTTGTGTGGTTGGTATTAATTGATAAAGTAAGAATAAAATAAGAATAGTTTAGAGCCACACAAACTTTGCCAAATATGGTATGCGACAATTTAAGTGGGACTTCCCGGAAAGGTAAAACGAGACAATATAAATGGGACGAAGGGAGTAGTTATTAAAATGAAATGTTAGACCCGTGTTATCAAGTTTGTAAATGTCGTCCCTCAATTGTCCTACATGTTGTAAATATGGTCCTTTGAGGGATAATATATATAGTGTATGCGAGAGTATATTTCACCCCTTAAAGAACCACATTTACAACAATTTGGATAATTGAGGGGTGACATTTACAATATAAGAAATACGGGTCTCACAATTCATTTTCATGACTATTTCAGGGACTAAAAGTGCGATTTTCTTTGGGTTATATCTTTGCGATTCTCATGATATTTACATAATCTTACTTGCACTTAATTGGGTTATTTCTGATATATGACTAAAATAAGTGATTTAGTAATCTTTAAAGACTACGAATATGTTCAATTTGTATACCGCAGTGACCATAAAATATATTTATAATAGTTCTAGTCGCTTTTTTATTTATGTCTTACTTGAGTACTTCGGTATACAAATTGAACATAGTGATCGTAAATTATACTCCCTCCATCCCATAAAATAGTCCCCGCATTGACTTGGATATGCGTTTAAGAAAGTGGGAACAAAGTGGAAATGTATGATTGTGATTGAGTAAGAAAAAATGTGAATGAATGTGATCGAGCCACACAAAACTTTCCAAAAAGGAAAATGGAAACTATTTTTTGGGACGACCCAAAAAGGAATCCGGGAACTATTTTGCGGGATGGAGGGAGTAATAAGGAGTATCTGATTACTCCGTATAATAACTTCCTGAATAGTTCAATTCTTGTGGACAAATTAAACAATTGTTAGGAAATAATCTTAAGATTTTAAAATACTCTTGGGTGCTGTGCTCGGAACCTTAAGACGCTCAATCCATCACTTAAGAGCGGTTTCGATCTTGTGCACAATAAAGTGTAGCTGGTGGTAGGAACTTAGTGGATTGTTTGAATGATTCGGGTTTATCTCTCTCAAGATAAAAACGTTTAGCAAAAAAAAAAAGTACCACTCCCGTATGTATTTCAATCAAAATATTATTTGTGTAAATAGTACGGAGTATTATTTGATTAGTTAAGTTTTCTTCATTGAAAATATATGATCTATGACTATTTTATTATATGGAAATTGAGTAGTTACAATTCAGTCATGCAAGAAGGGGAGAAGAGATAATGGAAAACTAAACGTTAATTTCTAACAACTTAAGTTTAGAGTATTGTTTAGAGGGTACAATGACAATTCCTCTACTTTAACATATGAAACGTGCACGAAACCATTAACCACAATCGATGTATTCCTTTTGTTGATATATATGCCCGTTTGGTAGGCATAATTTTTTCGCTTTCCAGGCTTATAAGTCATCTTTTTCACCAAACACGTAACTTTTGGTTTTATGAGCTGAATTGTGTAATAATAAGAAATAGTAAGATTGAAGTTACTTTTCTGGCTGTATTGGCTGAATTTACCGTAGATGGCTATTTTAGCTATTTTTCATATAGTTTTTTTTCCTTTATTTTATTAATAAAATGTATTTTAAATTATTAATTTTCACAAATCAGCGGAATCAACCAATACAGCCACATCAGCCAGAACTTCATAAATTTCGGCAGAATCAGTCAATACAGCCGATTTGGCTATTACCAAACGGTCTCTAAATATAAATTAAGGGTAGGGTCATTGGTTTTTAACATATAAATTATCCCAAATAGATGTACAAACCACATGATTTTTCTAAATAAGAGTATAATCTTCTTCATCTAAATATGAGTAATGTAGTGTGCCATTTTGACATTATATTATTATAATACTATTATACTTCGAGATATTACCCGAAATAGGACTAAAAATGTTTGAAAATTCCAAAATAGGACTGCCATATTTTTATTCCCAAAATAGGACTAATTACTGTCATGTTTTGGCAATACCAGACTTCAAACATGACAGTATTTTCGAACTTGACAGTAATTACTCCTATTTTGGGAATAAAAAACATGACAGTCCTATTTTGGAATTTTCAAACTGTTTTAGTCCTATTTCGGGAACTTTCCCTTAAACTTCGTATTATAAAGATATACTCCGTATTATAAAGATGTTTTTAATTGGACTGCTATAATTTGAACTAATCTGATTTGATCTTGTAGATGTCTGTTATATATGTATTTTATAACGGTTGATGGATATGTTTGGGCTGATTTTGCCTATTTAAACATAGTGCTTCTATTCAAGTATAGGGCAATTTCGTTTTTTTAAAACAATGACTGCCTGAAGGATCGATGACAGTATGACACCATATCTAAATATCCTTAGTTGTGATAATTTGTTAAAATATCTGATGTTACTCAATTAACGCAATTTGGCGCAAGGGTCTCGTCTCTCGATATACTTCGTATAAGGTAGAAATAGTTTTAATTTTCAATTTAGTCTGTATTATTTTTTTTGTGTCAGGTATTAGTTTCATAACATTTAGTTGAAGATCATGTTTTATAATAAATAAATTTATCTACATTAAGAATGTTTTTACCCGAGTGTATAATTTTCAGTAAAACGCGCTCCACAAAAGGGGTATCGATCACTACAAAAAGGGATATGTCTGGGATACCATGTTAAAACATATGATTACATTATATTATTCTAAAAGGTTAACATAATAGTAATAGTTTTTTTAACACCAACATAATAGAAATAGTTAAAAAAACTTATATCATGGTTTATTATTTTATACTCCGTATCAATCTAGTATGTACGTGTAACTGTGCAAGGCAAATATTTTGAAATTTTTGTAGTTGAGGTTCTCTACAAAAGTGAAACATTACAAAAATGAAAGAAAGAAATAATTGCAAGGGAAAACAAATGCATTTATCATTTTAATACTTCAAGGAAAATAACAATATTTCCTGTATATAGGTCCTTGCAGAAATTTCTCGATTGGTGAACCAGTACAAGAATGAGCAGATCAGTATAACCATAGTTGGCCATAGCATGGGGGCAGCCGTTGGAACCCTAAACGCTGTTGACATAGTCATCAACGTATTAAACAAGGGGGTGGCTAGAAATTCCACCTATTCTGTGACGGCCTTCCTCTTCGCCAGCCCACGAGTGGGAGATATAAACTTCAAAAATGCAATATCAAAGCTACAAGATAATCTTCATATTCTTCGTGTTAGGAACGGGTTCGATATCGTTCCAAATTATCCTCTTATAGGCTTCGCAGACGTCGGTGAGGTGTTACCGATCGACACCACGAAATCGGAGTACCTAAAGGTACCCGGAGATTTTACGACTTGGCATAGCTTGGAAGCTTACTTGCATGGAGTTTCTGGGTACCAAGGAGCAAAAGGACAGTTTAAGATTGAGAAAGGGATACGTGATATTGCATTGGTTAACAAGCATTTGGATGCTTTGAAGGATGAGTATAGTGTGCCAAGCTCATGGTGGGTTGACAAGAATAATGGGATGGTTCAACAAGATGATAGGACTTGGATTCTCATGGATCATGACTCATGAGGATGCTGATTTTTCTCCATAAAGTATGTTGGAGATTTATTGAAAAGTATATTGCTCAAGTATTAATTGGCAAGGTCCTTAACATTTTATAAATAAATGTTGTACGTGCATTATAAAATGGTGTTATAAGAATTTTAATTGTAATGGATATTATTATTATTGTGAGCACCGCACTTGTACACGTGTAGATGTGGTTTCGTAATAATAATATTATTATTTATTATTTAAATGCTCTCTTTGCTCATTTTGAAAAGGAACTGTTTCTTTATATACGTATTACATCAAAATTCTTTTATTAATGGAATGATTTTTAAATTCCTTTACTAATGGACATGTCCTTTTAAAAGCAACGTGTTGTTTCTTTTCAACGAGGCTTGTTAACCGTTCGGTATAAGAACTTATCAGTTATTATGAAAGTACTCGAAAAAGAGTCATCTCATTTTTATAAATACATGAGGACCGTGTCATATTGAGCAGAACGAAAAATTCTACTCCCTTAGAAAAATCTTCTCTTCCCTTACTAAAATACTAATAACTGCAGTATTAGTATTTAAGTGTTTAGACCACTTTACATACAAATCACTTGTTCGGAGTTATTTTATGAGTAGCTAAAATACACCACACACATTTTTTTTATCCCAAAAGTTCTATCTTGTAACTCAGTTACTGTGATAAGGGTAGATAGTAAACTTTTAGGAAAACGTATTTAATACGTGACTAGAAGTGATATCCGGTCCAGCCATATATTTACACCCTTATAATATCCTCCAGTTCTAACAAAGTAACTCTTCATATACGTTATGAATAAAAAGATTTTAGAGTTTCGGGCTTTAATTTCTATTAGAAGAATAGTGTGCTAAATGCCTAAATGTCAGAATACATTTTATTTAAATTAATATTTTAATACTACATTTGTTCATGTAATTCAGCTTATAAGTTATCAATAGAGTTCGGCCTTATAGATTTAGACTTTTAATTGGTATTATGATTTATAGCCTTAACCTATATTTAAGTTTTCTTGGAGTTAGTTCTTCCCAACCCTCTATACATAAAAGTGAATCCAAAGTTTGAAATCCGAAGATTAAAATCCTACTTCAAAGTTTCATAGCTCAAATGATAAATGAACTCTAAAGTTTTATGGTCCAAACTAGTTTGAAATGTAACTAGTATGAAATGTACCCAAAGTATTTTCAATGGAGTACTCCAAAGTATGTAATGTAATTTCAATGTTTTATTTTGAAAGGATAGCTGAAGTCCGAAGTCCAAAATTTCAATGGAGAAAGGTTACAAATGAACCCAAAATTTAGTCACCCAAAGGATAAAAATAACTCCAAAGTCTCATAGCCCAAACGCTAAAAATGAATCCCATAATTGCACAATAATTAATTCAAATGATATAATTAACTGAACTCCAAATTTTTGTAGTAAAAAACAATGAACTCCATAGTTCTGTAGTCTCAAAGGTAAAAACGAAGTCAAAAGGTTCATAGTTCAAAGCATAAAATTAAATTACAAAGTATCGAAGTTTAAAACAAAAAAATAAAGTCCAAATTTTCACAGTATATAGTTTGAATGATAACAAATGAATTCCAAAATTGTCATGAAGTCCAAATGATAAAAATGAACTCCCAAGTTTCATAGTCGAACGTATAAATTTACACTCCGGAATTTCAAATAAATTAAAGTCAAAAGGATAACAGAAAGTCCAAAGTTTCATAGTTCAAATAGTACAAATGAAGTTATATACGGAGTATATATATATATACAGAGTGGGATAAATTAATAATACAATGAAATATTAATTTTTGTGACACATAATTATACTAGGTAACAACTAATTATACTCAAAGATTTGTAAGTTGTACAGATCTTCACGAATTAGCAATTTATTTGATTCGTCGTCATCATACGCAGTTACGAAGTCTGTACGTTGGGAAGAGTGGTGATACAAGCCATTCCGTAAAGGGCACTTAGCCCAAACCAAAGAATTGCTCCTGTGAATAGATAGCCGGGGTGAGTGATTGAACACAATCCATTAGAAAAGTTCACCATTAGTCCCAACGCTGTACACACAATTCCAATACCAAATATGATCCTACATGTTAGACAAATCATGAGATAATTAATGGAGATGTACGTAAACGGTTAATGAGCTAGCATTTATTGATATTTCATGCTACACATATAATTTTCTCTATTTTTATGTTATTTGTAACTCCCTCCGCCCAACAAAATTGATCTCATTTTCCTTTTTGGGCCGTCCCAAAAAATTATTCTAATTTCCCCTTTTGCAAAGTTTTGGATGGCTAACATTCATTTATTTTTTGCCTATTCAACCACAATCGTATATTTCCATTTATTCATACTTTCTTAATTTTTGGTCCAAGTCAAACTGGGAACTATTTTACGGGACGGGGGTATTTTTACATTCTCCAATTGATAGTGTCTTTTTTATTTGGGAAAACTTTCAATTTGGTTCTCGTACTATCACAAAAAAATCAATTACGTCCTCGCACTTTTTAAAATATCAATCAAATTCTCTAACTTTGTAAAAATATTCAATTGAGTCTATTTTGCAGGTTACTTGTCATGTCAACAAGTCGCCCGCTGACGTGCATAGACGTGGCAGTCCACGTCTGCATCACGTCATCAGCAAATGGCTGACTAGACTTCCAAATGTGCGCCACGTCAGCGAAGTCACTCCTGATTGGGCTTCCACATGTGTGCCATGTCAGCGGGTGACCTGGTGACATAGCAAGTAACCTGCACATAGACTCAATTGAACGTTTTTCTAAAGTTCGGGGATTTGATTGATTTTTGTAAAAGTACGAGGATCTAATTGACTTTTTCGTGATAATACGAGGACCAAATTGACAGTTTTCCATTTTTATTTATGCAGTGTAAGTATCTAATTTAAAATTTTGTCCATATATCGCAGTTCGTATATCATGCTACCGGCCCACTATGAGCATCATGCTCCCAGGGATAAAACACGGATGAATAGTACCCACGGATGAACAATAATTCTTTTTTGTATTTCACTAGTATGCAATGGTGATGTAACTCTTGTTTAAAGAAATGTAACTCACGTTGATAGGAAATGTAACTTGAATCAAGTTGAAATGTAAGTTGTCTAAAGCGAAATATAAGAAAAAACTATATTGATGTCGATGTAAACAATGAAAAATTGATCCTAATTACCCAATTACTTTATTAATTTTAGTATTATTAATTGACATGGGTCTAAGTACGTACATGTAAATATGCGTAGGAAAATACTTCCTCCGTTCTTTTTTAGTTGCAACGGTCAACATTTCACATTTGCCAACGCACGTCTTTGACCGTAATTATATCTTAATCTCTATTAGTAAAAAAAGTTAAAAATCGGATTTTGAAACTTTGTAATGAGATGAATTGAACAATATCTTTTTTAAAAAATAATTTTCATAAAATAATAGCGTAAAATTTAGTCAAAGTAGAGCCTGTGAATAGTGTAAAATTCAACATGTTGCGATTAAAAAGAAACGGAGGATAGTACCATGATATCACCAAATAAGCTATTGCATATATCTTTATGACGAGCTTGTTCGCATCCCGACTAGAGCGGGTGAAAAAGATTGTAGCGGAGAAATGAGCGAAAAGAATCATGCATGCTGCACCTAACTCAGCCGCTCCAACGACAATGTTATCCACCGTGGTAAGGCACTGGAACAAATTCCTCACATTTGTTTTGACCTAATCCGTAACAAACCAACAATAACTTCAGTTCCCATGGATTCATATCAAACATTAAAATTTAAAACGTCCGGCCATAAATAACAAAAGGAGCCGGTCTAGTGATGCAGTTTTTGGGTTTATTCGACTTATCATCCAACTTTTCACTGAATCTGTAATTTTTGATTTCGCGTGCTGAATTTTGTAATAAAAAGAAAAAGTAAGGTTGCAGTTACTTTTTGGCTGTATTGACTGAAGTTACTGTAGAAGATCATTTAAGCTATTTTTCATATAATTTTGTCTTTATTTTATTAATAATATATATATTTTAAATATAATTTTTTCGTAAATCAGTACAATCAGCCAATTTAACGAGGTTTTCATTAATTTCAGCAGAATCAGCCAATACAGCCGATTTGGATATGACCGGTTCTAAAGTAATCCCTAATACAAATAAGACTATGTTATTTATCCTCCCAAAATAGGACTAAAATATACTATATATTCCTATTCTCCCCTTACCATTTTGGCCAATTTGGGGAATTTTCCCAAACATGTATAGTACAGTAGATTTGATAGATATTTACGGAGTAAATTACTTTAATTTCACCCTCAATTTAATGATTTACAAATATTATTCTTCCTATGAACTTAATTAACTCTCCTGTAATAGAATGTTCGTTCTTTTTTAATTGCAACAATTTGACTTTCACATGCATGTGCCAATACATAACTTCGATTGTAGTTATATTTAATTACATATTTTTTTGAATGATATTTAATTACGTATTAATAAATATAATAAAGTTTTAATATTCTGGTAATTCACATTAATAGAAATTTAATTATTTTTATACATAATCATTTGATTATATATATTAATAGAAAATCATGTTCGAAGTAAGGTGTGTAAATATTGCAAAATTCAAAGTGTTGTAACTATTCAAGAACGATTGAAGTTTTCGATTTTAGATGATAAAATCATAATGTTCGAATAAAAACTTTTGCAGTTGAATGTTTAATGATATTGTTCAAATTATACAAATTAATGATCGAATGGAAGGCCTTGCTTGATGTGGCATGGAGAATTCCAGATTCAGGCGATGGAGAAAGAAGACGAAGAGATGTTGATCCGTCTCCCTCCTGATCCGCCGTCAGGGAGGAACTATGTGACTAGGGTTTGGAAGGCTATTTTACTGTTCCTGGTTTGTTATATTCTATTCAGACTATTTTATTGTTTGTGTTTTTGTATTTCTGTGATAAATAATAAGGGGGATAGGTTGATGTTTTGGCTTGTTTTAATTGATCGGTTTCTGTTTGGAGGCAATCAGGCTGATTCAGCCGCTAATAACCTCTATGCTCTCATTGTTTCAGCGATTAGTCTCATTGTTTCCGAGGTGGTCTATTCTATGTCTGATCATGACGTGTGGGGACCGACGGGCTTTTGGAATCGGTTGATAGAGGGAGGTCTAGATTCTGGGGTATGTTAATACTACGGTTTGGTTTTTTCTAATATAAGTTACTACTTCCGTCCCATTTTATGTGTCTCGTTTGGTTTTAGTACGATTTTTAATAAAGTTGTTGAAAAAGTAAATGCTGTGTTTGAGATTTGAGTATAGTAAAGTGAAATGATGTGAACCACATATCTTTTTTCAAAAAGAGAAATGTGACATTTATTTTGAAACAATTCAAAAAGGAAAATAAAACAGGTAATATGGGACGGAGGGAGTATTTGTTTCCAAAAAACCATCAATACCCGAAAATAAACCTTCATAGAGTAGTGCTATACGTGCGTATAAACTATGACGTGTGATTACACTTCATTTTTTTCAAGGAAAAGTATTTAAATAGTTTTATCTTTTAATTTCACTATTAATCTCAACGGTTAGATTTTATCAATCTTAAATGATGGAAAGTAATTGTCCGATGATTTAAAAAAAATGTGAGTTTTTTTTGGTGATGAAACAAAAATGCCCCTGCAAGTACCCAGCCTACTGCTGAAGTTCTACCGCAGCCGACATTCAGATTTGTGCCGCCGATCTCCGAACGCCGCCGCAATAACCGAAGGTATAAAAAAATTCCAAAATCCCCCAATCTGCCTACGCACAGTCATTCCAAAAATTCCAAATTTTCTGTCATACCACTGCTGCCAACCGCCGGAGCTCCCCTGCCTCCACCACCACCGGCCTAGCCAGGTTACCCAAAGGAATTAGGGGGCAATTAAATAAACAAGTATGAATTAATTAGATAAGGGGTTGAGAAATAATTTTGCGCCTATTTAGGGAAGATTAGGGATGAAGTCGATCGATCACATGTGCAAGGAGGAAATAGCGAGAGATGTGCGCAGGAGAGAAGGCAAGAAGGGAATTGTACAGGGGAGATAAGAGAGATGTGCGTAAAAAGGAAGAAGAGAATAAGAGATAATAATGGAATAGAAAACTCTTATGTTTTTAAAATGGGAGTAAGATATCCTATTTGGGAAAAAATACATACATGGTCCTATTTAATAATTTATTCCCTCTTTTAATTCTACATGAGGCAATTCAATTACTAAATTACTATTGTCTGTATATGAACATTGTTGTATATTACTTGAGTACAAAAGTTAATATTTGGGGACATACATGTATATAGTTGATTATGCTAAGATTGAGGCTCTATAGTTGACTCCGATAATGCATAATTGTCTAAGGTGACAATTCCGGTATCCTTCTTAAAAATGGGATACCGTATCTACCATTCATTTGATTGGACCACATCATTTTATCATTTTTAATTTAGATTTAAATAATTCAACTGCTACATTCTTATTGGTCCATGTGGACAAAGGTATGGTACCTTATGGGTACCATAGAATTCACCATTGTCTAATTGCTAAGAATCCGCTTTCATGTATAACTGTATAGGAAGTATGGAGTAAAGAAACTTTCAAGAATGGGTATACTTTCATTTCGAAAATTTTACAGAATTTCTTTGAAAACTAACTCTCCCAATAGTTATTTTCCTTTTTTCACATTTCCAAATGATTAATTCTACGTTTTGGTGCAACATAGGGTATTCTAACGACTAAACACATCACTATTTACATACCGTATCATATTGAACTCTTGCTGCAAGCATCTGTAGAATTCCCGCTAAAATTTCGAGTACGACAGGCCAATAAGACATCCTATCTGAGAAGAGTTTGTATTCTATATGAAATTTGTTTTCCTTTTGTTGCCAGGCCAAGTGAGAAATGAGATTGTACTTAAAATTTATGTGGAGAGTGCGATACAGTACAAAGAACCACTCACTAAGTAGTTTGTTCAAATGGGCTTTATTACGTAGTACTCGTATTATTTATTTTGAAGTCAAATGGGCTTTATTTATTTATAGTCAAAAAGTAAAATGAAAAGAAAAAAACGATGAGGTCACAAAATGCGTATCTCAAACCATGTCTTGCGCACTAATGAGATGTTTTCTTTCTAACTGAAATTTATTGGCCCATTTGATCTAGTCTGATATATGTTTGGTCTTTGTGTAGATAATTGTTCAAGTCTGGTATGGTCTGATCTACAGATCTGAAAACAATCCAAAAGAAAACATCATAAACGTCTAGTCTGTCTGATCTGGTCTGATCTGATCTAGTCTGGTCTGATAAACGCCTCGTCTCTGTATATTTTATAATTATCTAAGTTTGGTATGGTCTAATTTGGTATGGTCTAATTTGGGATAAAAAAACAATCCAAGTAAAAACACCCGAGCACTATCTAATCGTTACATAGAGTTCCTTTAGAAAAATTGGGGATCTATAAAGTTAATGGATGTGTGCAGTTACTTTGAACGCTGCTTTGAACGCTCTCCCTAATGATGAGTAGGGAATAAAATGATGGAGTTCTTATTGTCTTGTTAAAAAGTAAAATCTGACAAAAATTCTATGAAAAAATATAACAAGGAAAAATAGTCGAACAATGTACATGTATATACTCGGCATTTATAGAGTTTGATTCTAATAAGAAAACATATTAAGGGGTGTTTGGATCTAATTCCTAAAACTGTTTCTTCTCTTTCAGGGAGCAGAAGCAAAAGTTGGAGTGTTTGAGTGAAAGTACAGAAGTGATTCTGGTGTTCTAATTAATTTACTCTTAGAATCAGTTTTTTTTAAAAGCTGGGGGGGGGGCAGTTTCTGAAAACTGATTTTGCTTCTGCTTTAAAAAAGAAGCAGAAGTAGAATCAATTCCAAACACCTCCTAACATGAGAAATAACAAGGATTTATATTTATACCTTTTAGACAATGCATTTTTACACAATTCTAAAAGGTTTCAGTTAATTATGAAATTGTCACCGCGTCATTCATCACTCTTCTCATTTAATTATGAAATTGACACACACACACGCACGCACGCACGCACGCACGCACACACGCACACACGCACGCGCACACACACACACACACACACACACACACACTAAATCATTCAATATTTTTTAGATCACTACTCCCTCCGGTTTTTATTAAACTTCACTCTTTGACTTCACACAAAATAAGGAAAGAAAAACTTTACTATAGAGTACGCTGTTGAGGCACTATTTGACACTGTTTGGCACTGTTGAGACACTGTTTGACACTGTTTTGAGGTAGATTTCTTTGTCAGAAAAGGAAATAAGGAAGTGTGAAGTTTGTTTTAGACCGTCCCAGAAAGGAATGTGTGAAGTTTAAGGGAGTATATTATTTGTTGTGGTGATTTTAAAAAAAAATCCCTCTTAAGTATTATTATGGGGCCGCCGTGACTAAATAGACCACACCTGGGTTGAATTGACAAATTTGATTGAATGGACCACCGCTTGGTTAAGGGTGCACTGGAGTGATGTGGCATAAGAGAGAGATAGAGATAGAATGAATATTTGGATGAAGTGGTGTGTAGGGAAAAATGAAAAAAAGGAGAGAGATAGAGATAAAAAAAATGGGCCAAGGTCTATGACAAGGTCCATATATGGACCTTATGTCACGCCCCGGACCTTATCCGAGCGCGTGTACAACCGCCGTATGACTAAATGACGTCACTCGCAAGTCAACGTGACTTAATCATACAAGGCGTCCATGAACATTGTTCATACCATACTCAGTAAGTAAACATACACAACAACATCACGTATTTGGATTGAACGAATCGCGGAAATATTCAATATTCAATCATGGGCCACATATGGCCAAAACGTGGACTCGCAGGCCCAAAACAAATGTACTTATTACAAAATATCCATGAGCATAGTTTATAGTTTAAAACAGCAAAGGAAGCACGAACCACGTCCCCCTTTAGATTACTTCACCGAGCAAGGTGAGAATGCAAGCTTGAGCTTCAACCTGAAATGGTGGGCCCCCCCGAAGGGGTCAGTACAAGTACCGAGCGAGTAGCAGGCTAAATGTAGAATAACTAACGTTTCAAGTATAAGACCCAAACATAGGGTGATACATATACATATAGTTCTTTCCCCCAAGTTATGAAATATATAACATTATATATACACTTGGAAATACCCGACCCTTAGGTCATTGTTTATTTGGGAAATAATATAGCCGTTAACCTTGGCTTAAACCCCAACCCACCCATATACCTATGAGTGTATAGAACTCCTCCTGGTTCAAATCATCTTAACATGAGGACACCGCCCGGTCCCAAATTATAAAATAATAATCTATGAGTTTTGAGGATACACGCCCGATCCTTGGGTACTCCACCCTATAACCGAGTTTTGAGGATAACCGCCCGATCCTTGGGTACTCCACCCTATAACCGAGTTTTGAGGATACCGCCCGATCCTTGGGTACTCCACCCTATAACCGAGTTTTGAGGATACACGCCCGATCCTTGGGTACTCCACCCTATAACCGAGTTTTGAGGATACCGCCCGATCCTTGGGTGCTCCACCCGACTTATGATCTACCACATATCATCCTAGATAAGGTCTATATCATAATCAATAATCAAGACTAAACCAAGTCTTAAGGCCTAAGCATTATCATCCATGCAATTCATGCATTAAAAATCAACATATAGGCAAAACAGTGCCAAACCGGCGCCGGTTTTGACATAACCGGCGCCGGTTATTAATTAATTTAATAAAACCGGCCATGCCGATCCATAACCGGCGCCGGTTTTGCCTATAACCGGCGCCGGTTACCCCCTGGGTAACCAAGTCAACATTTTCGTTGACTCGCCATTTCAAACCCGATTTGTGTCAAACTTAATCCCAACGTGTATTAAGTTATAACCAAGCATTTTATGCCCCTTTTATCCCTTAAAACATCATATATGTTTTTATAAACATTTTCGTATCATACTTCATTTATGATATTAATGGGTCATACATATAAGTCCATTCACTTTGGATAATCACATGTTTAAGTGTCTTTTAAACATCATTATGAACACATATAACATTTACTTAGGTAATCTCATAATTAACCCAAGAGTTATAAGACATTAAGCCGTCCACTCACCTCGAATGAGCGTGATGAAGTTCTACCCTTCTCGGTTGAACTCCGGCCAAACTCCGGTGAACTTTGACGAACTCCGGCGATAACTCCGGCGACCCTTTAAACTTCGTGAAAGCTTATAAATCACCTTTGACAAGTTCCTAACAAGGTTTTATCATCACAAAACCCATATTAATACAAATAACCTCTAAAAGGTCACTTTCCGGCTAACCGGTCGTTTTGGCTCCTAAGTCCGTTCTTGGACATAGGACCGCCTTTCAACCCTCTTTTTCTACATTATAACATGTAGAACAATTCTAGGGGTACTTCATATGCTATGTAAGTCATATGAAGTTCAAAGAGAGGAGAAAAAGTTATCATGGAGTCATTACCTTAATTATCCAAGTTTTTCCTCACTTTTTCCCTCCTTAAACTTCCTTTGTGGACTTCTCCTTGTTTGAGCTCAAGGTGCAGCTATGGAAGATGGTGTGAAAGGTTCCTCCCTCCTTCCTTGAGGTGTGCTGGTCGAGAATGATGGGTGAGAGAGAGTGGAGAGGTTGTTTTGTCTCACTTAGCCAATGAGTGAATGGGAAGGGCCCTTTGGCTTTTCAACCATGTTCCTCACATCTATTCATGCTCCATCATGTGTCCTTCCAGCTCTCAATAGTCCTCTCTTGCACACAAAAACGTGGGATGGCCCCCACTCATGTGGGAGGTCATCCAAACTTGTCCCGGAATGTACAATCGGTCCCAAAAGTTGTATTTCTCGGACTGTTTTAAATTATATTTTATTTTATTGGGTCAAATAAAATATAACACTTACTTCCCATCATAATGGGCCTTTAGGATGATTATACATTCTCCAACTTTAATTTGGAAGTCCCCGAAATTCATTTCAGACTGTTATCCGATAAATTACCCAAAACCGGTAATTGGGCCTTGTTTGACCAACCGGTCAACCCAATGCCTTTCTTATGGCCCAAAGTGAATGTCCACCACCATATAACTATTATCTATACCAAGATGAATAAAACATGCGGTCTCGGGAATATCGGGTGGTCCCCGCTCCCGGTGTGGGCCCCACGTGCAATTTACTATTCACGCAAAAGAATTAACAAAAATTTACAACCTCGTAAATTCATTAACCATTTCATAAGGTTCAATACATAATTTACACAAAAGTAAATATACTTGGGGACGGTGTTACAAGTTCACCCCCCCTTATTTGGGATTTCGTCCCCGAAATCAACGTGTCTAATCGAAAAGAAACGGGTATTGCTCTCTCATTGAGACCTCAGTCTCCCAGGTTTCTTCTTCGACTCGATCACTCCTCCACAGAACCTTTACCATAGGAATCTCCTTGTTCCTAAGTTTCTTCACCTGTTGGCCCACTATCTTCGCTGGTTCTACAGCATATTGCAGGTCCTCCCGGATCTCCACCGGTGGTTTCTCAAGAATATGTGATGGATCCCGCACATACTTCTTGAGCATCGATACATGAAATACATCATGAATCTTCTCAAGTTCAGGGGTCAACTTGAGACGATACGCTACGGCCCCAACCCTCTCAAGGATTTCAAACGGACCAATGTATCGGGGGTTAAGCTTACCCCTTGATATGAATCGGATGATGCCTTTCCAAGGAGAGATCCTTAGAAAGACTTCATCCCCGACTTCAAACTCCAACGGCCTCCGCCGTTTGTCTGCGTAGCTCTTCTGCCGGTCTTGGGCAGCCATGAGTCTATCACGAATGACCTTCACCTTAGCCTTGGTGATCTCAACGAGTTCTATCCCTTCGAGTTTGGCCTCGCCAACCTCATCCCAACACAAAGGTG